AGCATCTCGGAGTTGGAACATTCGCTTTGATGAGATGATCAAAGCGTTTGGGTTTATGCAGACTTATGGAGAAGCCTGCGTTTACAAGAAAGTGAGTGGGAGCTCTGTAGCATTTCTCATATTATATGTAGATGACATACTTTTGATGGGAAATGATATAGAACTTTTGGACAGCATTAAGGCCTACTTGAATAAGTGTTTTTCAATGAAGGCCATTGGAGAAGCTACTTACATATTAGGCATCAAGATCTATAGGGATAGATCGAGACGGCTCATAGGTCTTTCACAAAGCACATACCTTGATAAGATATTGAAGAAGTTCAAAATGGATCAGTCCAAGAAAGGGTTCTTGCCTGTATTGCAAGGTGTGAGATTGAGCTCGGCTCAATGCCCGGCCACGGCAGAAGATAAAGAAGAGATGAGTGTCATCCCCTATGCTTCAGCCATAGGATCTATTATGTATGCCATGCTGTGCACCAGACCTGATGTAAACCTTGCCGTAAGTTTGGTAGGAAGGTACCAAAGTAATCCCGGCAAGGAACACTGGACGGCGGTCAAGAATATCCTGAAGTACCTGAAAAGGACAAAGGACATGTTTCTCGTTTATGGAGGTGACGAAGAGCTCGTTGTAAAGGGTTACGTCGATGCTAGCTTCGACACAGATCTGGATGACTCTAAGTCACAAACCAGATACGTGTATATGTTGAATCGTGGAGCAGTAAGCTGGTGCAGTTGCAAGCAGAGCGTCGTGGCGGGATCTACATGTGAAGCGGAGTACATGGCAGCCTCGGAGGCAGCGCATGAAGCAATATGGATGAAGGAGTTCAACTCCGACCTAGGAGTCATACCCAATGCGTCGGGGCCAATCACTCTCTTTTGTGACAACACTGGAGCTATTGCCCTTGCCAAGGAGCCCAGGTTTCACAAGAAGACCAGGCACATCAAGCGTCGTTTCAACTCCATCCGTGAAAATGTTCAAAATGGAGACATAGATATTTGCAAAGTACATACGGATCTGAATGTCGCAGATCCATTGACTAAACCTCTTCCGCGAGCAAAACATGATCAACACCAGAACTCTATGGGTGTTCGATTCATCACAATGTAACTAGATTATTGACTCTAGTGCAAGTGGGAGACTGTTGGAAATATGCCCTAGAGGCAACAATAAAAGGATTATTATTATATTTCCTTGTTCATGATGATTGTCTTTTATTCATGCTATAATTGTATTATCCGGAAATCGTAATACACGTGTGAATACATAGACCACAATATGTCCCTAGTGAGCCTCTAGTTGACTATCTCGTTGATCAACAGATAGTCATGGTTTCCTGACTATGGACATTAGATGTCGTTGATAACGGGATCACATCATCAGGAGAATGATGTGATGGACAAGACCCAATTCTAAGCATAGCACAAGATCGTGTAGTTCGTTTGCTAGAGCTTTTCCAATGTTAAGTATCTTTTCCTTAGACCATGAGATCGTGTAACTCCCGGATACCGTAGGAGTGCTTTGGGTGTACCAAACGTCACAACGTAACTGGGTGACTATAAAGGTGCACTACAGGTATCTCCGAAAGTGTCTGTTGGGTTGACACAGATCGAGACTGGGATTTGTCACTCCGTATGACAGAGAGGTATCTCTGGGCCCACTCGGTAATGCATCATCATAATAAGCTCAAAGTGACCAAGTGTCTGGTCACAGGATCATGCATTACGGTACGAGTAAAGTGACTTGCCGATAACGAGACCGAACGAGGTATTGGGATACCGACGATCAAGTCTTGAGCAAGTAACGTACCGATTGACAAAGGGAATTGTATACGGGGTTGATTGAATCCTCGACATCGTGGTTCATCCGATGAGATCATCGAGGAGCATGTGGGAGCCAACATGGGTATCCAGATCCCGCTGTTGGTTATTGACCGGAGAGCCATCTCGGTCATGTCTATGTGTCTCCAAACCCGTAGGGTCTACACACTTAAGGTTCGGTGACGCTAGGGTTGTAGAGATATGAGTATGCAGCAAACCGAAAGTTGTTCGGAGTCCCGGATGAGATCTCGGACGTCACGAGGAGTTTTGGAATGGTCCGGAGGTAAAGAATTATATATAGGAAGTGCAGTTTCGGCCATCGGGAGAGTTTCGGGGGTCACCGGTATTGTACCGGGACCACCGGAAGGGTCCCGGGGGTCCATCGGGTGGGCCCACCTATCCCGGAGGGCCCCGTGGGCTGAAGTGGGGAGGGGACCAGCCCCTGGTGGGCTGGTGCGCCCCCCTTGCCTCCCCCTTGCGCCTAGTGTTGGAAACCCTAGGGTAGGGGGCGCCTCCACTTGCCTTGGGGGGCACTCCACCCCCCTGGCCGCCGCCCCCTTGGGAGATCCCATCTCCAGGGCCGGCGCCCCCCCAGGGGGCCTATGTAAAGGAGGGGGAGGGGAGGGCAGCCGCACCCTAAAGTCTTGGCGCCTCCCTCCCCTTTGCTACACCTCCTCCTCCCGTAGTCGCTTGGCGAAGCCCTGCCGGAACTCTGCTGCATCCACCACCACGCTGCCGTGCTGCTGGATCTTCGTCAACCTCTCCTTCCCCCTTGCTGGATCAAGAAGAAGGAGATGTCATGCTGACCGTACGTGTGTTGAACGCGGAGGTGCCGTCCTTTCGGCGCTAGGATCTCCGGTGATTTGGATCACGACGAGTACGACTCCCTCAAACCCCTTCTCTTGAACGCTTCCGCTCGCGATCTACAAGGGTATGTAGATGCACTCCCCTCTCTCGTTGCTAGATGAACTCATAGATGGATCTTGGTGAACGTAGGAAATTTTTTATTTTATACAACGTTCCCCAACAAGCCACCCCCGTGTCGTCAAGGGAGTACTAATTTGCACAAGTGATGATATCTATTTGCACACAGCAGAATAAATAACACGTGGACCACCACATCCACCACGAGGCTGGCAGATTGGGTACACTATATTGCAAAAAATGGCAAGCCTTGGTGCTAAATTGCAAACAAGGGTTCCTAGTTGCACACAGCAGCGGGAAAACACACGAACCACCAGATCAATCACAAAGGATGGCAGCTTGGCTAGTTAATGTTGGGAAATTGGGAAGCATAGGTACTTATTTGCACAAAAAATGGTCCCTAATTGCACATTGCAGGGAAAAACACATGACCCAGGAGAACCACCACAAGGCTGACACATTGGCTATATTGTCTCAAAAATTGTCAACTACTGCTCCTAATTTGCACGCAAGGGGCAACACAGTTGCACACCGCCGGAGGAAAACACTCATCAAAAACACCAGATCCACCGCGAGGCTACAATCCACAGACGAACCTCTATGGCCACTAACCAATCATCCTCCCTGAACCACTCATCACGTACGTATATACACGAACTCTCCCCCTATTGCAATGCAAAAACGACGGGATGAGCACGACCCTAGCCCGTCCCTGCCAATCCGGCGGTTTCCCAAACGAAGTAGTCCGCGGGGGTGACCTCAACCTCGCCGGAAAATGAGTTTGACCTCCCTACCCCCGACCGCGACCTCGAGTTCGACCTCTACTTCGACCTCACCGGAAAATGTGCGACCTCACCGGAAAAAGGAGGGGACGGGGACGAGTACCGGGGAACGCATGGTAGGAGCAGTACATCTGCCGCCGCGGACGACGACCCTCGCGACGCGCCCCGCCGTCGACCACAACCATCGGCGGATTTGGAGCCGCCTCCGAGCACCAACCAGCGGCGAGAGCAGGGGGGAAAGAGGAGGAATGCGCGGCGACAGGTGCGAGGTGGACGGGGGTAATGGCATGAAATTCGAAACCGCCGCCCACTACCCACGACGGCTATCACGCTGGGGAACTGCCTAATCCTCTATGACGTGTGGGTCCGTCGGGGAGATAAACTCGCGCGGCGCGGCTCGATCGGACCAGGCGACCGGTCCACACGCGGTCCGAGCGGCGCGGCTCCACCACCCGACCAGGGAACACCTGGACATCGCGCGCCGTCGATCGAAACAAGATCAAGCGGCTCTCGTTCGGCCGCTCGTTCTTTCTAGATAGTGCGCGTGCACTTTTTGGGTTTTGGGATGTTCTTTTTCTCTTCTTACTTTTACTTTTACTAGTTCACACGTGGTTAGCTGTTTGGTTAAGAATTGATCAAGGTTTATAAAATCAGTAGGAGCTTCTAGACTAACAAGACAATTAAATGCACTAGCACTTGGTTGTTGATATCTATTGAACATCAAAAAATCATCATCCCTGCGAACCAATCTGTGGTTGGATGGTTAGAGGGTCTGTGATATCCCCAGCCCACCAGGGTTCAAATCCTGGTGCTCGCATTTATTTCTGGATTTATTTCAGGATTTCCGGCGATGCGCATTCCGTGGGAGGAGACGTTCCAGTCGATGACGAGGCGCCCATGATGACTTCGTAAATCTCAGGATGATATACCGGCTCAGTAATTTCAATCGGTAGGCCAACTTGCCCATCACATGTGTACTGTGTGGCTCTTGTTCATCTTTCGATGCGCGTGTTCTGAAAACCACGAAGGAGAGGTCGCCAGCTACTAGATATGAGTAGTGGCCGCCGTGGGTCAACTGATCGAGAAGCAAGCAAGCAAGTAGCTAGCATTATTTATATATATATTACACGTTCGTTTTTGTGGTGCTCAACAAGTGAAGCCGCTTTCTTTCTTTCTTTCTTTCTATTCCGTTTTAGCTCCCATTAGCTAGTTTGCAGCATCACCTTCATCGTCTTCTTCTCCTTCTTCATTGCCATCAGCTTTGGTTCCAACAAGACGATGCAGATCGGAAGCACCTCTACGTGCATCTCCGGTCCGTGCCCCAAGGGATTGCTTTCCCACGGTAATAATAAGAACCAACTCATCGGTACTATATATATATACACTTCCTCTATTTTAAAATAAATGACTCAACTTTGTATTAACTTTATACTTTTAAATCTTGATTGGATGATAGTACTATATAAATTCTGCTAGATGGTTTCTTTTTTTTATCTCGCGCGCGCGCATGCAGGGTCACTAGTCGTCCTGCCGCTCAGCCTGCTCATCGCCATGGTGGTCCGCTACAGATGCATCAAGCGGCATATCGCCATTGAATCCGCCGCGGACCAGCACTACACGGTGGTGTCGGACCAAGTGATGATGAACGCCACGGTCGAGAGGTTCGTGCTGGAGATGGCCGACGAGAAGCCCATTCGCTTCACGCCGGAGCAGCTCGCCGGATACACGCGCAACTACTCCGCGCGCCTCGGCGCCGGCGGCTTCGGCACCGTCTACCGGGGCGAGCTCCCCAACGGCCTCGCCGTGGCCGTCAAGCTGCTCCACCCTGGCCTGGACACCAAGACGTCCGAGGAGCAGTTCATGGCGGAGATGGGCACCATCGGCAGGACGCACCACATCAACCTTGTCAGACTCTACGGCTTCTGCTTCGATGCCGACTCCACACGCGCGCTCGTCTACGAGTTCATGGACCACGGCTCCCTCGACGACTACCTCTCCTCCGCCCGCAGGGACGGCGGCGTGAGCATGCCCACCGTGGCCGCCGTCGCCACCGGCGTCGCCAGGGGCCTCAGGTATCTCCACGAGGAGTGCCAGCATAAGATCGTGCACCAAGACATCAAGCCCGGCAACGTCCTCCTTGGCGGCGCCGCCCTCACGCCCAAGCTGGCCGACTTCGGCCTCGCGCGCCTCGTCAACCGTGCTGACACACACGTCTCCCTGTCCCACGGGGGCGGTACCCCCGGCTACGCCGCGCCGGAGGTGTGGTTGGAACTACGCATCACGGAGAAGTGCGACGTCTACAGCTTCGGCATGCTCCTGCTCAAGATCCTCGAGCATGCTAGCAACCACGACGCAGATGCCGCGCCGGAGAGCAGCCGACAGTGGTTCCCAATGGCCGCGTGGACCAGGTACGAGGCCGGTGAGCTGATGGAGCTCGTCGTGTCAACGATCCACCAAGATCCGCGTTGCAGGGAGCTGGCGGAGATGATGATCAAGGTGGCCTTCTGGTGTGCGCAGCAGCGGCCATCGGAGAGGCCGTCCATGAGCGCGGTGGTGAAGATGCTGGAGGGAGAGACGGAGATTGCCCCGCCGCCCAACCCGTTCCAGTACCTCATGGGGATGGAGCCGCCGGCGGCTAACCTGCGGACGACAATGGCGAGCAGCTCTGTAAACACGAGCAACCACATCATCTCCTTTTAAACACGCCCTTAGTGTCTTCAGTTGAGTACTGTATTACATTTAAAGAACAGTCTTCCTATTTGTTAAGTCTCAGTCGATGGTATATTCGTGAGACCTTACATTAAAATATGTACATAATTTTCTTTTCATTATGTTATCTTTCGTATGTTATGTCACTTGACTAAGACTTGGTTAAATTTCAGTCGACTAATATCTAGCCACACCCAAGAAGAAGGACCTGGAATAAATTTAAGAAGAAAAGAATTATAGCAATTCACTGCCCACATATGAGACACCACGAGAAGCCATGCTTACCTACATCAGCAGCACTGACTACGTGACGGCGTGTAAAAATAATCAGCAAGAGACGAGTGGGCTGGCAGGAGACGGGTTGACGAACAAAATAGCTGGGTCCATTGATACTTGAAGGCCCACTTAGGCATTGGGAGTGGGATGAGGCACAACGAGGCGTGTGTGTGCGAGCCAACTTTTAAAATCTCAGCCATCATCTTTATGGTTAAAGCAAAATCAGCGGATATAAAGTGATGATGTATGGAGACCCATGAAATCTTTCTCCCTTTATTATTAGGTAAAGGTAATGATACAGAGGACTTGATTGTTTTTATTTAAAGAAGTTAAAAAAGACTATCCGGAGGACCTGACTGTGAACAAACTATCTGAAGGACCCAATGGTTTTAATTTACCTTGCGTGCTATTTTGTACTAAGTAGCCTTTATAAAATTTGACCAAGTTTACAAAAAATAATACTATCAATATTAACACTAACAAGTACTCCCTCCGTTCCTTTATATAAGGTATATTTGTTTTTTGATAAAAGTCCACAATGTAAGGTACATTTGTTCTAATTCCTTGTAATTCCGATCTTGGCCCTCCAGAAAAAGGAAAGTATCTCTCGCCTGATTGCATGTATATCTCCTTGTAGAGAAAGAAAAGAAAATTACCTCTCTCCGGATTGTGTGTATCACTTTATTTCCTAGCCTAAATGATTTACTTGCCGCTAATCTACAAATTAGAAAACGGTAATTTTGTCCTAACTAGTGCACAATTATGTGCCTTGGTCACCGTGCTGAAAATAATACACCTTAGATAAAGGAATGGAGGGAGTATATAGGATGTGGAAATATATTCAATCATAGCATAATACTGATTTGATATTGTAGAGTGTAGACATCAATAAATTTATTTATAAACTGCTAGATATATTAGCACTTTTTTGATTAATCAAATCATGAGTAAACAGTAAACATGACATTCACCGTATGTAACTCATACCGATACCTAAACATGTGAGCATGTACATCATAGAACCAAAACATCTATGAACAGAGCATATACGACATAGCACATGAACGAGCAAGTAGGGGGTGAACAAATCATACCCTCCGGTAGGCCACAGAAGGGTGGCGGCGGCAACAGCGGCCTCAGCTTCCTCCGTGGCCTTCTTTTTGGCGGCATCGCCGGCCATGGCATAAATGCAGGGAAAGTAGTCGAAGTAGGAGGACGAAGACAGGGACAGATCGGTAGCAGTATTGCATCGATACACTCCTCAAAAACCTTATCGCTCATCTCCTCGTGTAGGATCGAAGGACGGGATTCCGAAGGCCCGCTCTCCCATCGATCCGTGCACATAGTCGACAGAATGAGACTGCTTGAAGCAGCACAAAACTTGGAACAATAGATGACGGCTAAGACTGCACTAGCCAACACCTCCAATATATATGCCGTCGGGTAGGGTGTCGTGGGCCTCCCTAGTCTTCTTCTATCTCTCCACACTCTCCTTTACTATTAGTGCACTTTTAATATAAAGCATTATAGAGAGGAAATTCTGAGTGCGGTGTTTCAGTGCCCAGTCTCATTTGCACATGCTTAGAAAAAAATCAAAACAAATACTAAAAAAAATTTAAAAAAATCTATGATAGATAATTTGATGCGTAAGGTTTTCTCTAATTTTTAGCTCATTTGAACATTTGGGCAGCTCTCAGCAAAAAAGACAAACCAAGTCAGAACAGTGCAACATTTTTTTCGACCCCGAATTTGTCTTTTTTGCCGAGAGCTGTTCAGATGTCCAAATTATATGAATGGGTTTTCAGTGGTCTTTTGATGCTACAAATGGGTTTTCCGTATTTGCCTTGTCATCAAATAGTGCTCATGATTATTATTGTATTACCATTGCCTTGCTAAAGTCCTGCTTTGAGGATAGTGAGCAATGCAAACAGATGGCAATACATGTTCTTGTGCTTAGAGCATCTTCACTCGTTTGGCCCCCAGCGCATAGGCCGGCGCATTTTCGGGCGCTCATCTGACGATTTTTAGGCCCTGGGGGCGATCAAGGCCCCAACCACGCCCCCAGGCCCCCCCCCCCAAGGCCCCATCCACGCCCCCATATTCAAACTTGATCCATTCCAGCTCCAAAAGCGCCATAATCCAGCGATCGGCGCAACAGTTCGGCGATCATCATCGTGCCACAGTTCGGCGATCAAATGAATAGTTCGGCGCACAAAAAGAAAGGACACCCAAGGAATGCATCAAACATCGGGGTCGGCCTCCGGCGTCAGCGTCGGCGTGCGCAGGCTGGGAGGCGTCGGGGCGGCTTCTGGACTGGCTGGCGCGGCTTCTGTGCTGCTGGGCGTCGCGGAGACATAATCACTCGGGCTAAGCTGTGGCGTCGGCGCCGGCGTGGGAGTTGGCATAGGCGTCTCCGGTATCTGGTTCAGGATGAGGCCGCGCTTCGCCAGGTACCACGCCTTGAGCTTCTCGTCGCTGCTCTGGAGCATGTCAGCGCCGCCCATCAAGAAAGGCAGGTCGGTGTTCCACTTCTTCGCGGCGACGTTGGTCTGGAGCAAGTCGAGTTTGATGACGCTATTCGTTATCAACGCCGTTCACCGCGCCTCAGTTTACTCTTCTCGTTGGGCGGCCCTGGTCTTGGCGTCGGCGAGGCAATGCTTGATGGACTCTTGCACACGTGTGGCAGCCGACTCGGCGTGTTTCACCTTCTTGGCCCCTTTGTTGCCGTCCGGTCACCCGTCGGCCGCGCCCGGGGTCAGCGCGCCCGACTTGTACGTCTCCTTGGCCTAGGTGAGGATGCACAGTACATCCGCCCACTTCTCGCACTTGTCGATCCGCTTGAAGACGTGGAGGTACTTGAACTCTTGGTTGTTGTTGTCATCGCGGCACATGGCGAACATGCGCAGCAGCTGCGTCGGGGAACGAACATCAGTCGGCGCGGGCGCGCACATGGGCGCGCACACGGCAAAAGCAATAGGGTGAGGGCGGCGTGCGATACCTGATCCTCGACGCTGATGCCGGTCTCCGGGCAAGCCGCGACCTCCTCAAAGATTCCATGCCATTTGTTGCACGCCATTTGGATGAGCCCCCAATGGTTCGACATCGCCTTCGACCCGTGTTGCATGTGGACGCCTTTGAAGTAGGGGTCGACGAGCTTGCGCTCATCGAACTCGGCCTTGATGCGGTCCCAATACGTGTCGATGTTCTGGTTCGTGCTGGTGATCGGGTCGAGGCAGACGACTTTCCACGCTTCGGTAAGGCACTCGTCTTCCTTGGAGGCCCACTTGATGCGCGGCTTGCCGGTCTTGGCCGCTCGTGTTTCTTCTTCTTGCCTTTCCTCGTCAGAGCAGGCGCCGGATCCTCCTCCTCCTCCTCTGGCTCTTCCTCGCCGTAGTCGAGCTCGCCGTCCATGGCGCCGAGGTCAATTGAGTCATCTTGGGCAGTGAACCCGGGGGAAGCGGCGGCGGCAGCCGAGCCGGCTGCGATGATGTCTTCCATGTCGGCCTCCGTCGCGTCGACGTCGCCAAGATGCGACGAGAAGGAGGCTTTTGAGAAGAGCAGCTGGCCGCGACGAAGAGGTGGCGTCGCGGAGGCTGCATAGTCCGGCGGGGCGAGTACGTGTATGGAGGGTACTGCACGCCGGCGAACGTTGGCGAGGGCGTGCGCTGGACTGAGCAACCATGGGGGAAGGTGACGTTGGGGTTGAAACCCGCCGTGTACGTCGCCGTCGGCATAGCTCGGCGACGGCGTGCAACCCCATGGTTGTGGCGACGATGAGAAGCCGGCCGGAGATCCGACGCTTTGTTGGCTCCAGGTCGTGTGCGGGCCGTGGCCGCCGGGTGGATTCATCATCCCCGCGCGAGCCACCTCGGCTTGTTTGGCCGAGCGCTCCGCCTGCTCCACCGCCGCCGCGACCGCGAGCGCCGCCCTCTTGGCCCTATTGCGCCTATCGGCGGTGACGGCCTCCCGACGCTGCACTTCCGCTTTCCAGTCGGCGTTGGACATGCCCGGGGGCTTGGACGACGGCGCCCTCTGCTTCCTCTGCTTCGGCTGGGCGGCGGCGGCGGCTGTGGTATCCGTCGCGGCGCGGGGGGAACACATGCTTCTTCGGCAGCATGGCGCCCGGCTTGGAAGGAAGGAGGAGGAGATTGGCGGGAGGAATGGAGAATGAGAAGGAAGCCGAGGGGGGAAGCGGGAGGAAACGGCGGGAAAAGGGCCTCTTCTCGCCGACAGAGCGGCCCCACGCCCTTTTTCGCTTCTGCCAACGCCCCCAGGCGACACCCGGGCGCTTGGGTTTGGCTCGGGACCGCTGACTGTTAATTTGGC